TCACACTCAAAGACAATACCTGTAATAACAAAAGGAATAGAAAATTCAATGACATTTTCGAATCAATGTTAAGAATGAATTTCGCATACTAAACTATATTTCATTTTCATAATAGTTATCTGTTTTCTTCCAGTATTAATAGAGAGCTCACTTATCAATGCAGGATATTTGACTGGTCTTCTATCATGCACATTCTACCTCTGCTTCATTCATTCAGTGATATTTAGCTAACAGCACTCACTTTAACTATAATTTGCCAACTTTATCAAGAGTGAGATATACAATTGGATATTAGAGAAAGCTATATTTTGTTACTTTCCATATGTGTGTGTATGTGTGTGTGTGTATATATATATATATATATATATCTTATACAACTCATATATTGAGTAAAATAACTCAATAAAACAGGAAAGAGACATTTCCAACTATTTTGAAACTAAACATTCTATAAATGGTTCATGAACATGAAAGACTTCTTATATTAATTCACCACATATAGCATCTGCCAAAACTCTGATCAAAGAGATGTATTCTGATCAGATGTCTGCTAAAGAAAACATGAGATTCTAACAACATAATTTTTAAAATGATAGATTACCTTGTTTTTCAGGGCAGGAAGATTGTTACCAGTTATAAACCACTGCTGACTGCTATACTCTGTAAACTGGACTAATTTACATGAATTTTTCCCAGCCATTATTTGTGCATCTGAGACATCCAATAACTTCTCTGGAATTCTAATATAATCCCCTTCCTTTCCTTCAAACTTGTGCCCATTGATTTGCTGAGGATACCAGTGAAGAGCCAGTATTGACAAGTATGGGCAACTGTCAAGGATGGTTTTACTTCTGCAAGAAAAAATAAATAAAAAAGATTCTGCTAAAATGGCGAGTATTTACAACCATATATCCACTTAAATGCATTACATTGGGGATTCTGCTCTTTATACATAACAATGACATTACCAGCCCAGGAGCACTAGGTAAAATTTGCTTTCAGTTCCTTCATGGTTAACTGTTATGAACTTTTCCACAAAACTTTCCACATCCTCTTGACTAATCCTCCCTGTAACCTAAAACAAGGTTTTTTTTTTTTTTGGTGTTGTTGTTGTTGTTTTTGTTTTTTTAAAGCTGGTTAATGGATATCAAGATACAATCTATGGCTGTAAAATGTACTTTTCTGTGTTCGTCACATCAGTATTGGTGGAACAAGGTAAGAAAAGGGTACCCCCACTAAACTGAAGCACTGTTTGATTCAAGAACATCTTAAATCTTAGCTATATCAAGAGCCATGTTTCACCTAGAGGGTACCTCATGCCTTTCTAACCCATAAGAGCATTTGAACTAATATAACCATTTGGTAAGAAAAACGGCTCTGAAGAGTGGGCTTTATTCATTTAATAGTTCAGATTTGAAGATCTCCTAGGTATGATAAGATCCTGTGTGCAATGAAATTACTTTCAAACCTCAATATGTGTCGAAATCACTTGGAACTTGGCTTAAAATAGAGCTATCTAGTTTACACTCAGACTTACTAACTCAGAAATCTTACTCACAAGAGGGGGTTGGCAATCCTAGGAATCTGGATTTGTAACCAGTCACCCAGAGAATCTGTTGCAACCTGTGAACCCATTATCATTGCAAAAAATGAAGAGAAACAAAGATAAATCAGATCTGAAACATGCCTTAAAAATTATAGAGAACATCAGGTCATTAGTATAAGATTTATGCATTAAGTGTTTAAGTTACATGGACCACAACAGATGTAGAGTATATATAATTAGACCATTGATCTAAATGATACCTTGCCAAGACACCCTAAGCTAGTAAATGAAGAGAATTTTAAATGAAAGATTTGAGAAACAAAAGGAAAGAGCAAAGAATAACTTTTTCCTCTAACTATATACACTTCTCTAAAAAAAAAAAAATTTCCACAGCTTAAATGACCACAATTGAATCTGCACCTTCAATTATCTATACCTAACCCATCATTTATTCAGAGCTCTAGGTCCCAGTGTCTAGTGTTCTATGAAAACACTTCAATTTCCATGGGCCACACATGCCTCCACACAACTTGTCAAAAATCCAATACAGTCTCCCCACTCAGCTTCCTAAATCATCAATGGGACTCCCCACTTAATAGCTGCCACTACAGAACCCGTGACCAGGCCACAAAGCAACTAAGACCAATGAAGTCCACCCCCATTGCTGCACAGACACATTTTAGGCTCCTCGACCTGTAATCTACTGAGAATCTGACCAGTCAACACTACCATAGATTCTTCTATCTTGGCAAACCAACATTATATCACAATTATATCACAATGACTCTCCCCACCCTCAATAAAACCAACCCTTCTTGGCACCTAACCTTTTATATTGATGCCCTTCAAATGCACTCATCTTGGTCAATCCCATAAGCTACTTCATATCTAGACTTAAGTGTGGGGAGCACATTAATATGTTGATCAATTGTTAATGTTGAATGGCCCCTATACTAATTCACTGTGACCAACCTCAGTGGTCACAGTGAATTAACAATAAACAATCCATGGCATTGGTTTTATTTGGTTTTCAGGTGATTGTTCTGAATTCCATCATTTTTGACATTATCCTTGCTCAATTCCCACACCTTCTATTCTCAGCAGATGCTCTTGATATTGCTTAAGACAATATATAGATATGCGTAATTATGGTTCTCTTTGTCTTTGGAGTTACTTAAGCAAAACAAAATAATAGTGATCTCTCTCATTTTTTATGTTCCATTAATTTGAACATTCATCTTCACTCAACAGTTATCCCCTATGTAGTCTTCCCCTTGCTTCAATCCTTCCCTTCCTCCTACTGGAGATTGAACCCAGGGGCACTCTACCACTGAGTTATACCTTCATTCCTTTTAATTTCTTTTTATTTTTTAAGACAGGTCTCATGAAGTTGCCCAGGCTTGACTGGAACCTACCATCCTCCTACCTCAGCCTTACAAGTCTCTGGAATTACCACCTAGTTTTTCTATTTCTTGCTTTCCCTCTTCTTTAATTTCAACAACCTCTTCAACATGATGTTTCTAAAATACCAAATCTTATTCCTCC